GAATATATATATATATACATATATATATATATATACTTAGATATATACTTACTTACGGTTTAACTTGTAATATTATCCATCGGCCAACGAGCATAATCTTTATTGCATTTTAATTAACATAATTAAAGAGAAAGATATATATATATACAGAGAGAGAGAGAGAGAGAGAGAGAGAGAGAGAGAGAGAGAGAAAGAGAGAATGATAGAGAAAGAAACATAAATGAAAGGACTTTAAATATTATTCAATTTAAATTCAATTATTTTAATTATTCGTCCATGCAATGTTTCGTGTAATTATTAAATTAAGGTCAATGTAAACATTTATTCGAACGTATCAATCGATGTGGTCGATCGTTCGTTTCTTTTCTTTTGATTTTTTTTTCTCCTTTTTTCTTTTTTCTTTTTTTTTTTTTTTTTTTTTTTTTTTTTTTTTTTTTTTTTTATTGTTTTCGTCGACAAGAACAAGTAGAACGTTAAGATCGATATCGAGCGATCCAAATCATTGAGATCTCGAAAGGAATACGCGACACTTTTCGATGAATCGAAATTTTTTTTATGAATTATTCAAAACACAGTTATCACATACAGGACAAGCATGATGCAGTAACGACAAACGTCTCACTCTTACTGATTCTATGATCCTTTTTATTTCCATAATCTTCCTTTCTTGTTTTTTCCTTTTTCTTTTTTCTTTTTTTCTTTTTTCTATCCGACAACTATTCTTGCAGCATCCTGCATCCTTATTATAATCCTTTTTTTCTTTTTTTTGTTCTTTCCTCTCTCTCTACTTCGTGTCCGCGTTATTTCCTTACGTCGTACGTGTGCTCGTTGAAATTTGATTGATTGACACCGTATTAAATTAATTACAAAGTATACGTATGAATTTGGTTAATGAATTAGAAACGATTAGATAAATAAGTAAGTATTTATCTGTTTGTATACATTAATAACGAACAACATACGTGCACTTCTTCTTCTTCTTCTTCTTTTTTTTTTTTTTTTCTTTTTCTCTCTTTTTTTTTTTATCAAACTTATCGTCAAGGAAATACAATTCGATTGACGATTAGATTAAACATTAGACGAACTCTAATCGATCGTAACATTTCGTTGATCGGTGAAGAAATACACTTCTCGGCAAACAAGAAAAAAAAAAGAAAAAAAGAAAAAAAGAAAAAAAGAAAAAAAGAAAAAAAGCAAAAAAAGAAAACCAAAAGAAAAAGAAAAAGAAAAAAGGAAGATAGATAATAAGAAACATTTACACACCATAATAAGACAATCATAATAATGTTAACACATCTCGAACGTCATGATGGCTGATGGAAGGGATAAGTGTGATATGGGGGTAGTGAGATAGGAGGGGTATCACTCGAGGCACTCGATTTTACAGTTACTTTATTTCGTACGTGTTACGAATTTCTTTTCCTTTTTCTTTTTTTTTTCCTTTCCTTTTTTTTTTCTTTTTTTTTTTTTTTTTTTTTTTTTTTTTGAACGTTCCTTCCAAACGTTTCAAATGTTTCGAACGACATTCAGCGCCATAATTTTTCTCTTCATCAGTGGTACAAAAATGAATTCTTCGATGTTCGATGAATATATCGGGATACGTATAAATTCGTTAGAGCACTGTTGAACGATTTAACGATATTTAACAAGCCGATCACCATATGTAATCTCCTTGAATGAAAACTCACAAGACCGAATTTAAGAAAATAACGAAGACAAACGGCAGGCGATAAAGAAGAAAATGAAAAAGAAAAGAGGAATTGAAAAGAAGAAAAAGAAGAAGAAGAAGAATAAGAAGAAGAAGAAAAGAAAGAAAGAAAGAAATAAAAACTCAAAAATGAAGATGAAATCGAGCTTTAACTAAAGCATGATGTAACACCATTCGCACAGGTCTAACATTCATACAAAATCACACGCATACACGTACACAGCGGACATAGAGAGACACACACACACACACACACAGAGAGAGAGAGAGAGAGAGAGAGAGAGAGAGACGCAGAGAAGACACGAGAACGCACGCACGCACGCACGCATGAACGAACGAACGAACGAACGACGAACGCACGCCGTACGCCGCACGTCGCACGCACATACACATACACATACACACACACACACACACACACGAACGTAGCGCCCTCTCGAAGACGACGAACGAAGGGCGAAGCGGAGAAAGGGAGAGAGCGATCGACGTGCGTGTAAACAGGGGATGAGAAGACTAAAAGCAAGAGAGAGAGTGAGAGAGAGAGAAAGAGACAGAGAAAGAGAGAGACTAAAAGAGAGAGAGCAAGAGAAAGACCAAAAGAGAGAGAGAGAGAGAGAGAGAGAGAGAGAGAGCGAATGATGATGAAAGAGAAAGATAGAAGATGATACGTCGGGGAAAGCGTTAACAAACGTAATACACTGATGTTACACATTTGTCCTCTTCTGTAGGAAGATCCTGGGTATCGAAAGCGAGAACATCTCTTCTTGGTCGTAGTCACGAAACGAAAGAAGATTTAGCCGGGCGTCGAGAAGGACAGGAGGGTTGCTTGCGCACAGCACGCGCCCTGGGAAAGGAAGGAAGGACGAGTGTAGAGCGCGCGTGAGGAGAGAACGAAGCGTAGCGAGTAAAGAGGAAGAGGAGGAGGAGGTAAAAGAGGAGGAGGAGGTGGAGGAGATGGAGGAGGAAGAGTAAGAGGAGGAGGAGGAGGAGGTGGTGGTTGTAGTTGTAGAAGTAGAGGTGTAGATGGAGAAGGGGAGAAAGTGAGAGAGAAAGAGAGCAAGAGATAAAGAGAGAGAGAGAAAGAGAGAGAGAGAGAGAGAGATAGAGCGAGAGATTCGCGGAGTCGGTTGCGAGGAGAACAAGAGTTGGTAGAGGGGGTAGGAACGAAGGAGGTGGAGGCGTGGCGACGAGTGTCCGCGCCCACGGAGGGGAAAAAAGCCGAGCTCCGCACCTACCAAATGAGGAGTAGTGGGGATTTGAAAGAAGTGTGGTAGGGGTATACGATTTATCCGGTGGTACTCCGCTGGCGTTTCCTCTTTTCCCCTCTTTACGGGACTGTGGTGCATCGTTGGACATGCCAGCTAGTCAAAACGAGAAATATCATCATATTCCTCTATCTATCTCATTCTAAAATACGTTTTATCTTTAGATATTTGCTCTCTTACACGGTCACAGGGATATATATATATATATATAAGTATAACGCATATATGCGTATAGATGTTTTATGTGTTAGTGCGTTTTGTAAATGTTGAATAAAGTTCTACGCCGTATGAAAAAGAAATGAGTGAGAGGACTCCGATCTACTCTCCCACCTCCACCTTTTCCTCCTCCTCCTCCTCATCATCCCACCCCCCGCTGCACCCACCCGTCCACCCCATCCCACCCCACCCCACCCCACCCCACCACCATCGTACACTCCCAAACGATACGTCCTCCCCCTGTTCACTCTCTCGTACGCTGCCGCCCCCTTTTCCCGCCTCTTTCCCTCCAACCGAGTTTTAGCCGAAAGAACTGCGCAAAACGCACTTTCGCTACTCGCCGCGCGCGAACCAAGTTTCTTCCTCCCTCGTTCTCTCGTCCACGTCCACGCGGACACCCGGCCGTGTTTCTCCGTCGGTCCGGGTCTCTCATAAAACGCGGATACCGTGTCTACCGTGTCGCGCGATATATTAAAGGAGATTTCGACGTAAAATTCTGAAAAATTTTTTCGACCGCGGCTTGGGCGTAAAAGAGGGAGAGGGGGAATTGGACGCGGAAAAAAGATTTGTTCGATACCGCGATCATAGATGGTATAACCGTATGGGAATGTTAATAATCGTTATCGTTTTAATCACGGTGAAAACATATTCATTTGTGTAAGAAGAAAGGGATATAGTTTGTGAGAGAGTTACAGAAAGAGAGAGAGAGAGAGAGAGAGAGAGAGAAAGAGAAAGAGAAGGTAAAGATTTTGAGGGAGAAGTGAAAAGAGAGAAGAGAGAGAGAGAGAGAGAGAGAGAGAGAGAGAGAGAGAGAGAGAGGAGAAAAAAGTCGGTAGGTCGTTGTAGTGGGAGAGTGAGAGACAGGGAGGTGGAGCTGAAGAGAGAAAAAGAGAAAGAGAGAGAGAGAGAGAGAGAGAGAGAGAGATCGTGTAGTCGAGTGTCGCGCGTTGTGCGTGAACGCGCGTTGGGGGAGAGGGTGCCAACTAAGTCGAGGGTGGGAGGTTACAAAGTAGTGACGATCTCTTTGAGAAGGAAAGATCGAAGGGAAGGAGAATGAGACAGGGAGCAAGGGCAAGGGAGAGAAAAAGAGAGATAGATAGAGACGCAGAGATAGAGAGAGTGAGAGAGAGAATAGTGGTGGAAGAATCGAAGTAGTGGTGGGGGAATGGATCGCAGGGGGAATAGTGGGGGTACCGAACAAACTACCGGGAAGAAGTCAGCGGCAAGTAAAGCAGCGCCGCCGAGGCTAAACTTTCGGATCTATCGAACTAAAATTGTCGTGTAGTAGCTCTTTCTCACTCTCTCTCTCTCTCTCTCTTTCTCTTTTTCTCTTTCTCTTTTCTCTCTCTCTCTTTCTCTCTCTCTCACTCCCCAGGCCTGGGCTCTAGGCACTCCTGGTAAAGTCCCCCCTTATCGTCGCGTCCCTCGACAAGCAACCATCCCCACTACTTTTGGTAGGAGTCGCAGTGAACAACCGAAGAGGGAAGAAAGTGAGAGACACTACGGTGGGGCGAACGTCACGAGGCGCGAGAAAGATAGATGAAGAAGAGAGAAAGAGATCGAAAAGGAGGCTCGGCTCTGGACCTAGTTGGAGTGGGGGTATAGAGAAAACAGGGAGAGAGTATACGTTCCTGGCCAGACTGAGCATATTTTATTGTCGCGTTTGCCAACGCTGGTTGCTGCTGCTGCTGTTGTTGTTGTTGCTGCTGCCGCTGCTGTTGCTGCTGCTGCTGCTGCCGCTGCTGCTGTTGTTGTTGCCACTGTTGCTACTGTTGTCGCCGTTGTTGTTGCTGTTGTTAATCGACGGCAGA